TACAAATAAAAAGTCATAGTTAGGTCGCTTAGTAATGACGTATTAGATTTACTACAGGAGCACGGTATCGACATTAAAAATTGCAGAGCTCAGACCTATGACAACGCTTCCAATGTCCGGTAAATATATTGGACTTCAAGCTTGTATTAGAGAAAAAAAATGAATTAGCCTGGCCATTCTCTAAACTTAGTGGGAGAATGTAGTGTCGACGTATGTTGATGCTACAAATTTCTTCAGAATTTTACAGCAGCTATATGCATTTTTTAGTGCATCAACACATCGGTGGGACATTTTAATCACTGAGAATTCTAAACTAACGAGCTTATCGAAAACGAGATGGTCATGTCGCGAAGACGCCACAAAAGTTGTGGTAAAGAGTCATGGAGGATGTAGGTATTTGTAGGGCTCCAGAAATTTTAGCGAATGACGAAGAACAAAAACGCGAAACTCGGAAAGAAGCTGAAGCTTTATTGAAACATATAAAAAAACTTGAAAATGTTTTCATGGCGATTCTATGGAATAATGTTTTAAGCCGCTTTAACGCGACTAGTTAATACCTTCAAAAAGTTGATACAGATTTAATTTATGCAAATAACATGCTACTTTCATTAGTGGATTTTGTAGCAGATTTGCGATACATTTTCTGACATTGAAAATCAAGCCAAACAACTAAGTAATTTTGTGGATCAAGAATATTCTGATGCAAACAAATGAAAGGTCACAAGAATGCTAACCGACAAAGAATCACAAGCTAGTAGCTTAAGCCCGGCTGATAAATTCCGAGTAAACACATTTTATGTGATTATAGACAAATTAGTTGCAGAGTTGCAGAAACGGAGTGAAGCATATGATCGCATCATTCAACTATTTGGCTTTCTCACACAATTATTATTTATAGAGACAGATGTATTAGAAAAAAAAGTATCAAATCTCGTAAAGATTTACTCTGACGATTTAGAAAAAAATTTATCAGTTGAATTGAAACAATTTATACCATGTTTAAAACAGCAGCCTAAGGGCTTTTTTTCCAATCGTACAGGAGAAAACACAAGTGCAAATGATGAAATCTTGTGTCCCTTACAAGTTTTAAATTGGCTTGTAGATTTAGACATGATACAAGTTTTTCCGTATACCTATATTGCTTACAGGATACTACTTACACTTCCAATCGCAAATTGCGAATCAGAAAGATCATTTTCAGTTTTGAAAAGAATAAAAAACATGTATCGATCAACGATGTCAGACGACAGAATATCATCTTTAACAAAATTAAGCATCGAAGTCGACTTATTGAGATCAACTGACTTCGGTGACTTAATTCATGATTTTGCTAGAGCAAAATCAAGAAAAATTTTTTTAATCGAATTTTAAAATAATTGTTTGTACTTCATTGTATCTATAAATAATAGTTTATAATAAATAATTTATAATAAATTAATAAATGTTTTTTTTTTATATTTGATAAATAGCCTTTTTCGCTGTCCTTAAGTGGGCCCCTTCTCAATTTTAGCCCCGGGCCCCATAAAGTTCAAATCCGCCCCTAGGTTAGTCGCCTTATTATTGCAGTTTTATTTTTTCAAAACTTTAGAGATTAAGACAGAAATAATGAAGGAATATACATAACATAATAATCTATACAAATAAATAAAATTGAAGTGTCTGTTTGTAATGTCAAAATTACAGTTTTTTACTAAATGCATATGAAAGTAAATACGGTACTTATAACTAAAATACAATTTTTAAAATTTTTGTCTGTCTGTCTGTTTGTTCCGGCTAATCTCCGAAATGGCTGAACCGATTTTGACAGGACTTTCACTGGTAGATAGCTGATTTCATAAGGAGTAACTTAGGCTACTTTTATTTTAGAAAAAGTATTAGGGTTCCGCGCAAAAACATAAAAACCTAACACGCGGGCGAAGTCGCGGGGAACGGCTAGTTATAAATAAAAATATAATAATATTATATTCATATTATATGACACATTTGTGCGAATCCACTTTAAAAAGCGCCATATTGTTTTGTTTTTTGCGAGCTTTTTAGTTTACGACATTCTGGTGACGAAGCCGAATGTAATGACACCTCGCCCTTCAGCAAAATCCGTCAGGTAGTTTAGTTTAGGCTACATATATTACAAACGAAATAGACCAACAAATGCAATACATATGGAAAATCACTCCAAGTAGGCTTGGGAAAAAATATCTATATATCGAAATATCGATATTTATTTTATATTATCGAATTCGTATCAATTTCGATATATTTTAAAATGTATTAATCGAGAAAACATTAAGCAACAAAAGCATTCATGTGCTGTGGTCGTATATTTGTCGTCCAATCGTCCAGTAATAAAAGAACAATGGCCAAATTTGTATAGGAGCTGGACTTGACTTTTATTTTTCATGTCCCAAAACAAACTATAGCTAGATTGGTTTGTTTTTATGTTGTAAACACCATTCCGTTTCAAAATCATATCTAAATAGCCATAAGTTTTTATAATAACATCAACAATACTTTTGAGGTTAGTATCACATATTATGTAATCTTCTTCAGTGATCTAAAATAAGAATTAGATTTGTATTATGATGTACGGTTGTGTGTGATGGTTTGTTAGTGTAATAAAATAAGTAGGTATGTAAATATGTACTATTCTTGAAGAATTCCACTCGCGGATTTTAGAAATTACTCTGGTATCAAGCTCAGAAACGAGATGGCGGCGAAGTGTATCAATGCATATGTTACAATTAACACAGCAATCGCGAGGCTAGTTGTCGTTGTTGTGTAGCTGTAGTCTGCATGATGTCTCTCACAAATATGCAAGGTGTATAATTGGCGTCCAAAAATCAAAAACACAGAATAATCGTTACAAGTGGTAGTTATCAGTCCGTAAGGAAATCTAAAATAGTACAGACCGTATCACAATCCACAACAACGAGTGAAGCAAAATAAGCAAATAAGATGATGCGAATGATTGCCATAGATAAATAGACATGTAGATAGTGATGTGTCCCTCACTCAAGAGTTGCCTCGTTTGAGGTCAAATCGAAAGTTACTCGAATTTAACATTAAAATACTTCACTCACTCGTTCACGACCTCGCTTATGACTGACAATATGAATCGTGTCGCGAGTGACTGAGCGAGATTATGTATTTTCCAACACAACTAAATGACCGAAAGCGAAACGAAGAGATTCGCAATATGGCAGGTTTGAAAGATGACCTTATCACAAAAATTGATAAGGGCGTGCTTCGGTGGTTTGGGCACGTTGAGCGAATGAGTGAAGACCGAATGGTGAAGAAAATATATAGCGCGAAAGTTAATATTAAAAGGTGTCGAGGTAGACCGAGACTAACTTTCGAAAACCATGTGAGCAAATTGCTCGAAGAGGGTAGGGTCAAAAGTACTCGGATACTTAGACGTGCATGCATGAAGAAGATAATGAATCTGAAAGAAGCGAAAGAGGTTTGTAAGGATCGTGACACTTGGCGATCTGTTCTCTCTGGCTACCCCGTCAGGGATTGTGCGTGAAGATAAGTAAGTAACTAAATGAGTGAGGTGTCGATATTAAAGATAATTTAAAATTAAAAATTTTGTACAGCCAACTAAACTATTGGTCTGACCTTGATCAAATTCATATGGGACCACACGATAAGTACCAGCTTTCAAATAAAAAAAGAATCATCGAAATCGGTTCACCCAATAAAAAGTTATGAGGTAACACACATTAAAAAAACATACAGTCGAATTGAGTACCGTCTCCTTTTTGTAAGTTGGCAGAAAAAGGTTAATAAACAACAAAAAATTATTTTTGAGTAATGGAATTTGAAACAATCAAGTCACATATATGAGTGTTTTTGTGATTTCGAATTTTATTTGCGTTCACTGATAACGCCTGTTGTAACATAATAATATTCGAAATATAATAAATATGGTAACAATATTTCCTATTTTGTCCTTTCAAAAAACTTTTGGAAGGAGGCGACTCGCCTTGTGAGATGAATACACCGACTAGTGATTCCTCACCTCAAATGATCGGGTATCTCGTGAGTACCTCGCTAGATAAAATGAGGTAAAATGAGGTCATCCTCAAATAAAATAGAAGAGTAACCCATGACTGCATGTAGATGATTGCCGGGTGACAATCAATGTCGATCGATGACCACAGATAATGTAGCTTGTCGTTGACAAATAATGTTCCGTTGTACGTAATTGAACAAAACGCTTAGCTTACTATGAAGCTACATAATTATTCTTATGACATGAATCCAGTACATAATAAAACAATATAGTAGTTGATTTGATGCCTACATAATAATTAAATTGAATTACAATTAACAATTATTCAGAAAAACGTGGATAATTATAGTCTTTGAATACAAAGTCCATTCATACGTGAAATGAATCGTCATTAGGTGCGTTCCAGTGCGTTTTAAATAATTTCGGAACAGTTACAAAAACAAAAATAAATGGATACCTTTGTTTGTGGCTACTTAGAGAAGTATTTTTTGTGTTTTTTAAGACATTAAAAATAAGAATATTTTTCATAATAATTTAAAATTAAAAATGTTGTACAGCAGACTTCAATATAAGTTATTAAGAATAACTCAAAAACTATTGGTCTGAGCTTGATTAAAAAGTTATGAGGTAACACACATTAAAAAACAACATACGTGTCGAATTGAGTACTGTCTCCTTTTTGGAAGTCGGCAGAATATGACATAAAGTGACGCCATCGTTTCATCGTCTGGCCAACCTTCTTTTAGGCTTTATCCTACTACATCATGCAAAACATGACGATATATCGATATTTTTTTTCATTTGCGCATCCCTAACTCTTAAGGCCGAATACTCAAACACTGCTCAATTTTAAGATGCCTATAAGTCTCGTGCTCTCTATCACTTTTAGTCGAAGTGACTGACCACGAGACTTAACGACATTTTAAAATTGAGCAGCGTTTGAGTATTTGGCCATTACTGGGGCAGTCGGGTAATAAACACTTACGTCTTTATTTTCTGCTGAATCGCTGGTTGCATGAACTTCCACTAATGTCCTTTCCGTCAAAGATAAAGGACTTTGCACATTTTTAGTGACATCCTGCTGCTTTTTGAAAGGATTTCTGGCACCACCCGGCGAAGATTTTATTGGCTGAAAATATTTCTTATATATAATACTCGAAAATGTTATATAAAATAGACCTTTTTATACAAGAAGTAATAGTAAAATTGACTTTATTTGGTCTGCATACAGAAGTAGAGCCGTGGTGTAGCTCAGATGGTTAGGTCGCTGTAAGTTTCACAGTACGCGAACAACCCGGGTTCGATCCCCGCCGGCAGAAATGAAATTGTTAATTGCAATTTTAAGTGCTCATTTACCACGTGCTCGGCGGTGAAGGAAAACTTCGTGAGGAAACCTGCATGTCTGAGAAATAAAAAAAATATCCAAGACATGTGAAGTTCGTCAACACGCATTGCGGCAGCAGCGCGTCGGACACTTCCTTATCCTTAAAATCCTATCAGAAATGAGAAGAGGCCTGTGCCCAGCAGTGGGACGCATATAGGCTTTAACTTACTTTAACTTTATACAGAAGTGGACTTAGAAAAACTTAAGGACTTAGGATACAACACTAGCCAGTTAGGATGTGTGTCTACATTTATGTGTCACCTAAATATAATAATTTAACCTCTGCAATAGACAACCTTCACATAATTCTAAATTTTTAAATAGTAACCAAGAACGTTCATTGTCCATACAGGGCTATCTAAATAAATATTAAAAAACATGCGTGAGTGTCGTGGAACACTCGGTTGGAACGAAGTTCCTTTCGTAGTATATTATTATTTGATAAACGTATTATATTATTAACAAATACAAATAAATGAATTACTGGCGTATATTAAAATGAAGCACCCACTAAAATAATATTTCTTTCATGGCATGATAAGAAAAAGTGGGAGGGAAATGGAAGAAATCATTAGGGAAATGGATATTATTCCATCTCGCTCGCACTATAGAAAGGGGGTCGTGACAGAAAAATCTTAAACTTTTTCTCGCCTAGCCCCCATCCGCCAAATTCGTACCGTGCAATAAGGAACTTCGTTCCAAAAGTTTACTTACAGCTGGCTTAATAGGCGTAACATTTTCAATTTTTTTCCTAGTCTTCTGAGGTATAATAAGACTTGCGTTCATATCTTCCTGCGCGGTGCTCGTTACATCATAAGTTTCCTGCGACTCCAGTTCTTGGAAATGGGAGTTTTGTGCCACATTCAACTTATCAGCTTCTTTCTCCCACTCCTCTGCTAGGTTTGTCAGTTTATCAGCTAAATGCATCCGGCCTAGTCTTGATGCGTATTTAGCTGCTAATGGTAACAATCGATCGTCCTTTAGCAATTCCATCAGTTCTAATGCCCTTTGCTCAATCTCACTTCGACAGGCCAACTGTAATTATGATGAAATATTTTAATAAGATGTTTAGAACTGGTCAAGATCAACTAGATTGGAATATAGAAATTCCAAAGTCTCACGGCTCTAACCATCTCTAAGACATAAAATTACAAACCATATTAACATAGTGCAAATCCACTCATCCAGTGTAACAACTGCACATTTGAAACTTTTGGATAATGCGCTTTTATTTACAATTTTATTGAAGAAATAGAATTTTTTTTTCTTAAAAAATAAAAAGAAAACGTTACCCGCATACTAGGATTTTCTCCTGTATCGCGGAGGCAGTTTACGAATATAAATTGGACAAGGACAAGCATCCAGACCAGTAACAATTATTTGTAGCCCATACAAATACTTGTTCCGTGCGGGTTTTAAACTTGCGGCCACCAGCGCTGCAGCTCATTGCTAAGTCACTACGCCACGGAGCCGTCAAAGTTTAACATAGCACTATATCATTATAACTGACCTATGTGGGAATCAGAAATGATACTAGAGTTGTAATGTAATCTGTAGTTGTAAGGATGTTTTATAAATTTCGTCTCCAACTGCTTCACTTTGCACCAGCATACATTGTGCCGGTTTTTTTTTGCTCCATATTACTTGCATTTAACAGGTAATAGATAATTAAGTAAAATTTACAATTATACACACATTTACTTAACAGTTTTTAGTAGTTTGCCTATCTGTGTATGTGGTAGTGAATAAACACAGTTCATTCATTCATTTAAATGACAATCTTAGCAGTATGAAACACATTGCTGACTGAGGATTAAGACTGGCGACTAACATAGGTCATAAAATCCGACTTAAAATACTCAACTTTTAATCCCACACTCCTGTAAATGGAAGCAGCAGTAAGTAAAGAACACCCAAACCCTGAAAGCCTAATGTGGTAAGGGCAAATTTTTCTACAAATGCGTGCAGCCGATGTATTCTTAGAAAAGCTCGCAGTACACCAGAGGGTTTAATTCTTATGTTTACGCGAACACTACATATTAAATGAAACTAATTTTTACAGATTCTATCGCCAAACGATCAATCACCTCAGTGCCCCCCGTGACCATGGGTGCTGTAAAGCACGCGAAAGGTCGGGGAATTAAAGAGTTAAATTAAACGTGATAGAATCAGTAAAAATTAGTTTCATTTAATTTGATTATTAAAGGTTTTAAATTAGCATTTTTACCATTATATTATGATAACTAGGGAGTCACTATTGTGCTTCATTAATTTAACTTTAACATTCGTTAAAAAATTGTACTTACAGCAAAAAGTTTTAAAGCAGTTTCTCTAGCGGTCTTCATATCGACATCTGACGTTGTGTGTGCCCAGCGCACCAACTGTTCCTCGTACTGACCTTTTTCTGTATCCAACTCACATAGAGGTATCTGAAATAAATATATATTATGGCGTTATGATATAAGTATACCATTAAAACTGGGCATAAAATAGAGTCATCCCTGAAAAAAATATTTGTTTTCCTTACACAGTAAAATTTCAAAAGCAATAATAGTATTTTTTTTATTTTCGTCTCATTAACTCATAATCATGTAACTTCAATGAATATCTATAATTAGAAAAAAACTTACTTGAATTGGTATTTCCGTAACAATTGGTTTGGGCACCGTAAGTGGGAAGGAAGTTCCCCTGCAAAGAATTACTCGCACTGTCTGTGTCGGCTCACTGATCTGAAATTAATTTTTAAAAGTTGTTAAAATTGATTAACTGTAAAAATTAAATCAAGACATTTTCAATTGTTGCTTCAGAGTAAAGCACTAACATTATGACTTTTTCTTGCTTATAAAGCCTCGCAGAAATTATAAGAGGCCTGTGTCTAACAGCAGGACACATGGATACTGTTACTTTATCTCTACATAGTACAAAACAAAGTCGCTTCCTGCCGTCTGTACGCTTAGATCTTTTAAACTACACAACAAACGAAACAAAACGAAAAAAAAATTGATGTGGTTTTTTATCAATAGACAATGATTAAAGAGGAAGGTTTATATGTATAGTATATATATAGTGTATGCATATTATATATTATATTAGCTGGCCAGGCAGACGTTGTTCTGCCCTCTCTGACGACCCTGTGTCCTATAAAAATTCTTAAATTCGTAATAAAAACTATTGAGTGTCACTTAGAGGGATAAAAACTATCCTATCTCTCAAGTTGGACCAAACTGCACACAGTATGCAAAATTTCATTGCAATCAATTTAGTAGTTTAGGAGTTCATCGCGGACAAACAATGTGACACGTAATTTTTATATATATAGATAATTCTTCTATGCGTGTGTATGTAACTGAACTCCTCCTAAACGGCTGGACCGATTTTGATGAAATTTTGTGTGTGAGATTAAGTTAATTAGAGAATGGTTTAGATTCACAATTGGACCCGGTGGGTGGCGTTGTTGTTGAGATCGAGAAATCAACCGTGCGAAGCCAGGTGAATCGGTAATAGTTTGTAAATAATTATTTATTAAAGAAATAAAAAAAAATGTTTAAACTCACAGACACAATGAACCAAGAGTCAGAGGCACCCCTAGAATGTGTGCTTGTATCGCAAATGGGCATCCACACTCCGCTGGCGATGTCATATAGTCTCAGTATACCGGTGTTGTCATAAGTACACGGCGAGCCAGCGTCGGTACTCCCAATCCACGCTAATTTAGAACTTGGAGTGAGTGGCAAATTAACCGTTTTGCTACGAACTTGGCGACCTGTAAAAAGAATATGAAAAATGCATAGCACCTCGTTGACTACCGTGAAACCTGGCAACTTTGCCATTTTTGGAAGAATTTAAAACTTTAGGACCAATCTTCCAATATAAAAGGTACTCTCATACTGGGGTGTTAATGTTAAAAGTGACAGTTCTTCATAGATTTGCTATTTATAAGTGATTTAAACAAATACTAACATTAAATATACAAAATACTCAATAATACAAAATAGCAACCTCAAAAAAAACCTTAGAGGTCTCTTCGACGGCATTTTGAAACGCAGCGCCGTTAAGTCGCTGAGAGATTCTCAGCGACTCGGAGCGGGGAGTCCCCACTGAGGTCGGCCGCGAGCGTCTGTCAGTTAGATACCAATCACCCACATGACCACACGGATATCGAAAAGTTATAATGGGAAGAAAACAAAAGAACGCTGTGTACGCTTACTTTTCTTTTGACAACGAGACAAAAACTTCCCGGTTAGTCCCTTTTTTATAAGAGGAGGCAAACGAGTATACGGCTCACCTGATGGTAAGTGACTACCGCTGCCCATGAACAACCGCAACACCAGGGGAATTGTAGGTGCATTGCCGGCCTTTCAGAAAAGAGTAAGCTCTTTTCTTGAAGGTCCCTAAGTCGTATCGGTTCGGAAAAATCGGAAAAAATTCCACAAAGAAGTTGTGCGAGAAAGAAAAATTGTAGTAAATAACAGTGGTTGACCGCCAAGCATCCATAGGGTGATGATGTTATCGTTAATTTTGAGGCGATGTGCGTACGTGAAATTTGGCAGCTAGAATTAATCCGAACAATTCCTCAGAGCACTCCCCATGGTAGATGCGATAGAAAATGCAAATAGATGCAACATCCCTACGTAGCGCCAGTGAATCGAGCCGATCAGAAAGAACTCGGTCGTCGATGATACGAACCGCTCTGCGCTGAATGACCGCATTCAGCGCAGAGTGGGAGGAGCTGGCACTGGGGTGCCCCGGCCCAGAAATGAGAACAGTATTCCATGTGAGGCCGAACTTGTGCTTTGTAAAGTTGCAAGCGATGTGCCGGCATGAAATACTGTCCCGCTCTGCTGAGCACGCCAATCTTTTTAGAGGCCAATTTGGCCTTCCCTTCCAAGTGACCACGAAACTGCACACTATTCACGATATATCGACGCCTAGGGTTCCGATGCTAGCTGAAGCAGCAAGGGGAGTGTCTTAAAACTGAAAAGATACGAGAAAGATGTTCTTTTTAGCGGTAAACGCGCAAACTTGTGTCTTCTGGGGTTTGAAGAGGACTAGATTTAGTCGCCCTCAATCCGAGATTTTGTTCAGCAAAGACTCGACTTCAGACACAAGTTTGTCCCGGTACACGACAAAGTTTTCCCGAAAAATATTGGCACGGCCGGTGTATAAGGCATCACCAGTGCTGTCGTCTGCATAGCAATAAATGTTATAAGTTTGCAACATATCATTGATATGCAGATGAAACAGCATTGGTGATAGCACGCAGCCTTGTGGAACACCAGCGTTAATAGGCTTTTAATCAGAGCATGCACCGTCTACTACGATCTTGATGCTCCGATCGGCAAGGTAAGTGGTGATCCAATTGCACAATTTCTCGGGAAGTCCATAGAAAGGGAGCTTCGAAAGAAGCGCTTTATGTTAGACCCGATCGAAGACCCTTGCTATATCCAAACCAACGGTCCATGCTTTCCCTTTGGACTCTACTGCTTCCGCCCATCTATGAGTCAGGTAGACCAGAAGATCGCCAGCTAATCGACCGCGCCGAAAACCGTATTGGCGGTCACAAAATGGAAGAGACTCCATCAGGTCCACCCGACTTGTAGACATCCAGGAGTGATTTGCGAACCGAGCGCTGTGTAAACCGCACATCAAAAAGAGCCTAACAGATCGGCCTTCTCCTTTGCGGCCAGTGAGTCATCCTCTCTGTGCAGAGATGGAAGAGATGGTTGACAAAAGTTCCCTTGGACAGCCTTGGCAAGAGACCAGAATGCACGGGTTCCCGAAGGAAGGCGAACTAGCTTCTCGCCAATTCTGCCGATGTGCTCTGATCTTGCCTTGGCAATGACTCTTTCGAAAGACCTGGATGCGAAATCATACTTCTTTTTAAGAGCGCTGGTACTTACATCCTGAGACGTTTATGCGTCAGCCCAGGCCCGGTAGCACTGTTGCTTATAGCGGTGATGCTATTTTACAGGAGCGACCAAACCAAGGCTGGGATCTGCCTCCGTTGGGCACCACCGAAGATGGAATAAAACGTACCATTCTCTGTAGTACCACATCAGCGACAGAATCAACAACAACGCTAGGATCGTCCGGCGAGAAGTAAGCCGCCCCAAGGGTGGGATGCAAAAAAATATCGCATCCTATGCCAATCGGCCGACTTATAGTGCCAAACACGACGGCAGCCTGCAGAATGCAACCGCAATGTTAGTGTGAGTGGTACCACACTCCGGACCAGACAATGGTCCGACGAGCCTAGAGGGGCGTCGACGGAAACCTGATATCCGTCCGAATGATAGGTCAGCAGAAGGTCCAACAGGGAAGGTGCGTGATTCTCCACATCTGGAGTCCTTGTAGGCGAAGTAACCAGCTCTGTAAGACCATATGCCAAAGCAAAGTCATAAACAGTGTGCCTAGTGCGAGATTTTTTACGCGTTCGATCCCGAGAAAGTTAACTACAATTTGTATGGAATAAAATCAGCGCCAACTAGTGGCAATAATCGGAATCACAATTCATGAGTGCGAGTTTATTAAGTCGTCGATATCGACCATCGAGCATTCACTCGGATTCGACAGTGAGAACGTTAACGCACGTGATTGGTTGTTTCAAGTATTTTGCGAGTGCGAGCGCCAATTTCGATCGATCCATACGTAACATAAACAAACTTTACGCCGTCGATATCGAAAAAGTTTTCACCTAGATTTTTACAGTGAGATAGAAGAATTAGAATAATTGTTGAAGAGTTAATTTTATTTCGTTTTGTGAGAACGATATATAATTTTAGCAGGACGTTTTTTTTCCGTTTAGAGGATGTTTGCAGCTGCAAAGCCATTAATAACTAATTATAATAGATGACTGCTATTATAACGCTAGTATTGAAGCAAGAGCTCGTGCATATTTTAGTCCGTTGTTACACCCCGATGAGAGGCAATTTAAGGATAAATATCGCCTCTTCCAAGAAACATTTAAGTTTTTGTGTAAATAGCGTTTGATACATCCAAATTCCTACCATCACTATTCAATAATTAAGTCAATTCCTCCCAATTCTTCATACAGGCCATCCTATCGCTTGCATTAGAGGATGCTTTGCTAAGGCCTCTGTGTCGAAAACATTTACTGCTCCATAAATGTCGCTATAAAATCATATTAGAACGAAAACATCTTCATATTTTTTGCTTTCAATTTAATACTTTCAATAATTAACAATTAAATGGTTAATTCACGATCTTTTATTACTAACACAAACTGTCGAAACCTAAACAACGAAACGAAACATAAACAAAGTATAATTAAGATCGCTATAATAACCACAACTTTGATAGACAGATGCTAATATTAAGACCACTAGATAAAAATGTCTTTCTCAATTTGGTTGGTTTAACTTACGACGGGAACGCACTGCCAACGTAAGAGAATGAACGAACACCATTCACAGTGAGCAAACGCGGATCGAAGGGTTAGCTTCGATTGTAACTCACACTTGCTTGTCGTCGCTTGTCGATACCTATGATGTTAACTCGGTGAACGCGATGGTGAAGTCATTCGAATGATTTTGTAGAACTCCCACTAGGCACACAGATCTCCCCGCATTATCGGTTGAAACGTGAACAGAGCCATTTGGCGTGGTGGGTGTTAAAATCGTCAAAGAGCACAATCTCTGCGGATGGGATCTGCTGTAGCAAACAATCTGCAACCATTTGGAAGTGGTCGATGAGTCGGTCTGTTTCGGCATTACCGCTATAGGACCTATAGAGGCACCCGTAGACGCGGAGATGGTAGTAGCTGTCTACGTGCAGCCATGGATGGATAGGTCCGTACCTTCAAGACGACCGAGGCGTCGAAAACAGATGTCCTCTCTGACGTATACGCAAACTCCAGCCCGGGGCACAAAGTAGTATTCTAATTTGTACCCAGGGTAGCTCCCAGGAGAGCACACCTGAGTCTCGGTTAAAAAGAGCAAGGCCGGCTTCGCCGTCTCCAGATGGTAGTGGACAGTGGTAAGGTTTGAATGTAGTTCCCTGATATTGCAAAAACACAAGTATAGGTCGTATTGCTCCGCTTGCCCCGAGCAATTTTAGTTTTAGCAACATGATATATTTTTCGCCACATTGGGTCACCTTATTATAAGAAGCTAAGGTAATTTTGAAGCGTAATCAATGCTGCTACTGCGTGCGGTTCGGGGTCTACGGGGTGTCACGGTCGGCTGGCGTTAACCGAAAGAAACCTTTATGTTGATGGTTAAAGTAGCGAAAAATATAACGGTACCCTTATTTTTCGGTACCGAAAAATTTGTGTATCGTAATTTTAAGCTATCGTAATAAAAAAGTATGCCGTCATACCCTTAACCGTTATAACCCATAATTTTTCGGTCATGCAAACCCTGTTTCAAACAAAATTTACAAAAGTTCTGGAGCAAAGAGGTTATTTCGCCGGCACAATTCCACGTTAAAATAAAATGCCAAAATTAAGTCTTCATGTGGCCATTTCGAAAGCAATGCTGTCCAATTGGTTATTGTGAAAAGATAACTTCCATTGGTAAAGTTGCCAGACTGTACTATATATTATAGTTTCATCTCCACAAAGAACAAGCGCCATTGGAACCGCAATTGGGTTGAAATGTTCCAGCATTTAGAGACGGCAGAAACACCAAGAAATTTTTTACACTTAAGAGCTACCAAAAAAGTGCTCATGATCTTCGACGACTGCACACACACTTTCATTATTCTGAGTAGCGACATTTAGCAGATACAACACAAGATGCTTTTACAGTCAACTATTGGACGTCATGACATCTTTCTGGAATTTTCCAACCATAATAGAATTTATTTGTTTTAAATAAATATAATGAGGATGTTATAGAATAAATTATAGATGTTAAATATGTTTTACTAGTCAAAAACACTAATAAGTAGTCATAAGCATTATAGTGCTCAATACACGTCTCTTAAAGTTAAAAATAATCTCAATAATTATTGATTAATTATTACCATTTAGCGCTATTATGTCCATCGCAAGATGTTGGTCTGATATTCCAGGGTCAGTCTGATGGTATGCTGCAATGACTGTAGTATTGAATCCCGACAGAGCAACTGCCGGGCCCGGTAACGAGATTACCTGTTAAACAATATTAAGGGAACTGCACATCAATAATATTATAATATTGACTTAGATTAAGAAGTCAGTTTATAAAGCAATTTTGTGAAACAAGTGGTAAAATTGAAAATGTTGTACAACCGACTTCAATATGAATACAATGAGAAATCATCAATGTAGTCAAAGTCAATTAAATAAGCATTATTAAGGATAACTCAAAACCTACTAGTCAGATCTTGTCAATTAAAACTGAACTGTTTAAACAACGCTTAAAATCTAAGTTGTTAAAAAAATGTTTAATGTTAAAAAGTTAAAAGCTAAAATTGGTTCCAGGAAGATTTTTTATAGAAGTGAGGGTGATAAACAAGAATACAATACAGGTAAATAGAAGAATCAAAATGCAGATGCGTAGACTAGGTACGTCATTGATGAGATCTAATGTCTCGATGTCTGTTCTTGTCATAACCATACGAAACAAATGATTTCTTGTATTGACGCATATACACACTGAATAAAACTACCTTTATGGATATCTTACTGGCATCGAGACATGAGATCTCATAGTAGATAGGAAACAATATAATTATACTGCTATTTTATGGTGGTATTCTGTGCAAGCGTGGTCCTTCACCACGATTTCGATTTATTCGTGTAACAACCGCAGTAGGCTACAGCATGGCTCTACCATGTCTAATGTAAGATTAGGTGAACAATTTTTTTGTTTTAAATATCACGAAATAATATTACCGTACCGAAAATTGTAATAGTAATTAATCCTATTTCGAATATATGAATTTTCGTGTCTTATCACACTTATTACTAATGCTATAATATGACGTTTTTAAATGAACACAAATAAAATGAATTATGTAAATTTTGTTAATATACAATAAAAAGCGTATTGTGACTAAGTCCCTAGATTACATATTTACAGTTAAAGAATTTAACTGTTTAATATGCAAACTTATTCTCAACTCTATCTCTCAAACTATCACTTACCGTGTACTATAATGTGACCCAAAAATACACAATAATGTACATACGATACATAACGCGCACGTGACACACGTAACATTATAATTTCTGTACGTGGTAGAGCCACGCTTCAGCTATATTATAGTAGTAGGATGAATAGGTCAGCTTAACCGGGGAAGGACTACGCTTTCACAGAATACCAGCGTAAAATAACAGCTTAATGCTGCTGTGTTTTGTATGGTGAGTGCAGAGAACCGGAGACCCTTTTTAATGAAAACAAGGCATTCCATCTTAGTCATCAGAGGTGACAACGAATCTGCATTTTGATTCTCAATTGAGGATAGATGTATATGTCTATGGGCCATTGCATCGTATGGTCACTGTTCTATAAAAAATAACACCACTTAATTTGCTAATGATAAATAAAAATTCACATACTTAAAATTAATATGACTGCTAATTATAAATCATACCTGTCTTTGCGTGCCCATAGGCGTAAACAATCTTAATAAACGCGCATTTGTAGCGCAAGCGACAATACTACTTGTAGCAACTACACAGAGTATTTCTTCTGTGTCTGGCATAGAAACACTCCATTCTTTGCTACTGCCCACTAGCGATATACATACTAATTTACTGAAAAATAAATAATATAATGTAAACTAATATTTTTTAAAAATAAAAAATAGGAAATTTATTTTAGGCATAGTCTTAATATTTACTAGCAGTCGGCCGACTTCTGTAGCTGTGCAGGGCAACGATGGGTTATGTGGGAAATCTAGTGCAATTTCAGCTAGTTTGCACTCTTAAGTGTGAATGGTATGATATCTGAACGCGTTAACGTATTTATTTTAGATCATTTGCCGGCAATAATATCGCATTAAAGAATTTGCTTTCTAATAGATTTCTTACTTTTGTTCTATATTATGATAAGAATTAATTATTATCATAAAATTTAATAACAGATAGTTAAAAACAACGAAATCTCAAATATGTCGTAAATTTCTATCGGTTGCGCATTTATAATTATAACAAAATTATGCTTAAATTTGTTAATTTATATATTATGTTTCAATCTGTTATTAATTCTAAATATGAAATGAAATATTTAAGTACTTTCTGTTCGCGTCCAAACGCTAGTTTCAAGATTTGACGCCAGAGGGCGCTCGGCTCGGTGCATTCGTACCGGTTTGAAGTTCGGGCGAGCGGAGTGGGTTTGGCGCGTGCCGCGGCGGAAGTCGAACAGTAGCTTCAGAGCAGCGGTGCGGTCGATCCACGTATTTTGTAGTGACCGCTGCAGCGTTTTTTCGCGCGACCAGTTTCGGTTGTGGTCTAGATTTTTAGTATTTGTGCGCGTTTATATTCGCTATTAGTGATTGCGTGTTGAAGTATATTTTGCAATATTTAAATTGCTGTCTACTCGGGCCGCGTGATCACGTGCATAATAACCTCTGATTGTGTCGATTTTGTTAGCAAATTTATGCAACGACGAGAAGTTGTGGAATCTAGAAAATTAGACGCCGGGTTGATTTATTGTTTGGAAGTTTTGTTTTTTGAAATCCTAATTGTTTTGCTCAAATAAAAGTAGCATAAATTACTCCTTATAACATCAGCTATTTGCCAGTGTCCTGTCAAAATAGATGTAGTCATTTCCTAGATTAGCCGGAACAAACATAAAGACCGACAGACAGACAGACAAAAAAAATTAAAATTGTTGTTTGTTGTAAGCACCGTATATACTTTGATATGCATTTAGTAAAAGATGTTATTTTGACATTACAAACAGACACTTCAATATGATTTATTTGTATAGATGTATAGATTAATAGTGTACTTAAGATGTAATGGGGATATACCGATTTCTCCCCTAATTACCCACCTCGCCTACATGTAAGCTACAATGTCAACTACCGAATAAGACTTTAGCAACTAACTATCCATTTAAATATGTCGAACTCAAATCAAACGGACTAGTAATAGTGACCACCAATTTCACGGTATGGTGTGGTAAGTTAGCGCATTCTAAGAAAAACCTATACCCAGAGTAGATTAGAGAAAACAATATACAGGAAAAAAATTATACCTAATTATGAAAAAATTATGAATCTACAAAACAGTTACATTTATAAAATGTATCTTACCTAGGTGTTTCACAAGCCAAAGCTAGAACAGAGGTTGACAAACTAGCCATTGTGTGGTTGAGATAATTGTTTAAATGAATTCCATGGTGCAAATTGGAATCATGGAACTCAATATCAATACTGGACTCTCCATTCTCTCCAGTGTGACACCGAACTATTCCAACATCATTCCAACACATATACCTAGAAGGAAAACAAATAAAATATAAAAAATAACAGATTTGCTACATAATACTGATCCATTGTCTTTAGATAGATTTGGAGGCACAGGTTTTCAGACTTAGGAATGGCAACACACCTTTGCTCGGAGGTGGTTGCAGGTTTCTTGGATCACAGTAGCTTCTAACAATCATGGTAGGCAAAAACTTCACTATCGTGTTATGATAAAAAATAAAGCAGTAATAAGAAAGGATGGCAGTGTAAGACATTCCCGTCATAATCTGTATCAAAATCCATTGTTGAACATTATCTTCATCTTCCCCTATAGAGTGCCTGATAAGGGGACATATTTATCATTTTTGCCACGCGTGGAAGGTGAGTTGGCAACCACAGTTTCTTTTCATTTTTTAGTTATTATTAAGACATACGCTACCCGTTAAAAGATTCCACCGCGAATTAATTATCAGTAACTTATAGTGATCTCTGACTGGAATCATGTAAAATACCTCGAGACGAAAATAATAAACAATTAATGGGAGGTTTGTGAGGTTTCACCAAACCTGCTATCAAACATGATTATTACGACACATCTTCCCAACAAAGAAGAAGTCTACTCATATGTGAAAACTAAGTCATTCAGATTCATTGAGATTTAAAAACGAATTTGGAATTAAGTTATGTGTTAATTATTTGACTTTAATTTATTTGACATTGAGATGTGAAACATGCTATGCTCGTTTGCCCCCTCTCATATAAAAATAAAATAAAAAAAGAAACAAAAACTTTTTTATTCAGTGTAGATTATAAATAATACTTATTGAAAGTCACTCATATGTTTAAATTACCACTGGTTCGAAAAAAAACCTCCGTCCTGGAAAGAACCAGCAAAAAACCCAGCGGGACTTTTAAAAAAAATAATAGCTTACAATCAAACAGTGAAAAAAATGTTATGGTGTTGCAATTACTTAGCAGATTTTACTCATTCTTCATATATTTTCATCAATAAAAGCATAAATAAGATATTAAGGGATAGCCTACACACAGCCTAAGAAATAGCAGTACTTAAAATTGTCTTCTTCTTCATCAACCTGTTAAAGTCCAATGCTGGATGTGAGCCTCCCGTATTGTATGGAGGACTGATCTTATTCGCCAAGCTTTGCATACGAACTGGCAATTGCAGCTGGCATTAACATTTTACATCTAGCGTAACTGAAGTTTCATTGATGTCAATCTTTCTGGCATTCCTATTTTCCACAAAACAAAATGGCGAGACACGGCACTTTATTGAGGGCTAATAATCTTCCACTCACCAGATGTCGCTAGTTGTAACTGAGGTAAAGTTTTTTTGTTACACAGTGTCAGATAATTGAGAAATTAGTTTCAAATAATAGTTTATCATTATCTAGAGTATTATATTTGTACACAACACAATGCGTCAGTGGTTTGATTTTTAATTTTTTGCACTTTATAACTGTGTTTTAAAAAAAATCGGCCTTTAGTTATATTTATAGTTTGGTTTATTTATTTCTAATGTAATTAATATAAAATATAACTAATAATACAGGAAAAACCTTAAAGATTACATTTTCCTAAGAAATTATCGTCCCCACTATAACCTGTCTATATATAGGTTATAAAACCTGACAGGTTATATAACCTGTCAGGTTTTATAACCTGTCAAAATATTTTACCTCACTGTAAAGTGGCGCCGCCCTGGTGGCAGAAAAAGTCGTGGATGTCCTCACTGTCTAATGATGTCAATGAAGTTTTCTAAAAACTAAAAATATATTGAATTATATGAATTAAAGGTGCTTAAAATAGACCTGTGCTCCAAATGGCTAGGTGTAGAGGATGGCTGAAAAGGTGGCTGCGGTGCAACTGTAGAAGGAACTGGCGCAGCTTGTCGCGACGTCGGTCGGGATTCGTCCTTTTCCGAATGTATACCGAGAGTCTCGTTCTTTATTTTCTCCAAAGAAATAGCGTTTTCATCGTCACTTTCGTAGTTCTCTATAAGATTTTCAACTAAATCGTCATTATCTGAAATAATTATTTATTTATCAACCTGTTGTTGCGACTTTAGGAAATGCTAGGAATATCTTTGCATGTATGGTAGACGGAGGTGTAAATATTTTATGCTATAACACTATGAACTGGACCATCTCATGGATTTTTGAATATAACTGTGTCCATTTAGTTGAACAGGTAAAATTTTGCCAAATAAAGTGGCTCTTACCATCAGCCCTCTCAATCATTTCTATATCTTCAGTGTCCGTATTTGCTCCAATCTTACTACTGTCCTTTCCATAACAATTCACTAGCATGCCCAGTTGACCAGCAACGTCACAATATACAAGAACACCATTACCTGCAAATTGAAACCGAAGTTTTTTAAATATGTTTTTAAGATTTGGCTATACTAATAAATAACAGTCTTATGCTCATTATTAGTAACCTATTTCCGTTCTCGTTATTAGTTCAGGTTTCCCACCTAATACATCTGATATTCATCAACTTAACAAAAGGAATGGAGCAAAATTTTCCAAATATAGCACGCATTACACAATTTAAAGGACTTTTTAATTAAATCATGATGTGGCATTAATAACTGTATTATGGGACTGTCCGAATTTTTTTTATATAGGATAAAGGTGACAAACAAGACCATAGACATCTACATCTATCTTCGATTACGAATCAAAATGCAGATGCGTTGTCACCCGTGAGGACTAAGATGGAATGCCTCTTTTATAGTAAAAAGGGATCTCCGGTTCTCTACACTCACCATTCGAAACACAGCAGCGTTAAGCTGCTATTTTACGCAGGTATTATGTTAGAGCGTGGTCCTTCCCCGGTCGAGCCGACCCATTCGTTCTACAACTATACCAGTAATATAGCTGCAGCATGGCTCTACCACGTACAATTTTTATGAATATCAAAAATCTTCATATTTAAAAGAAACAAAACCATTCAACATAATCTAATAAATAATTTCGTTTCCCCACGTTACTGACATATTGCCAGGCAAGTTGCGCATATGACTACACCATAGATAAATAACAATAAAGACACTGACGCGGGACAAGTACGCTCGCTCTCGGAGCTGGAACAAGCAACATGTCGCGGTAAAATGTTGCGGGTCACTGTGCAACATTGCATCGTCACTTAGATTTAGTATACCGCGTCATGTAGCGGGACAAAATATCCCCTAGAGTATCCGGGGCTTTATGGTATGGTACGTAAGATGCAAGACTCGGCGCTTCATACTTCTTAAGTTACTTTAGAGCAGGATCAGATTGAACTAAGGCCCTGATTCCCAAGTTTGATCCACTATACCAACACTAATGTAAATGTTAATGTGTAATGTTAACGTTAATTCACGTAACGCATCCTTAGTAGCATCGGGAAAGCACATTAATGCTAAACTACATTTTTTTTTAAAACCGAAGCCAACTACATAAATTTTCAAGCCATATAAATACTTCTCTCACACAGAATAATTGTTAATAAGACCTACATAGTTGTTCTGGGTCGAACTTTAGATGTTTGTCCATGTGCAATATATGTACGTAAACCGTCTCCATGGTACAGGAGAAAAATCTTCCATGATTTAACAGTATTTTCTATCAGCATGATGGTATTTTTTATTTGAATCAAATAAAATCAAAACGCATCTGCATTTTGATTCGCAAATATTATTATTCGCAAACGAGGATAGATGTAGATGTCTATGGGCCACAGATACCTCTTACCATCAGGTGGACTGTGTGCTAGTTTGCCACCCTATCCTATAAAAAAAAAGTAGTATACAATTCAACCAAGAAATAACTCAATAACAAACCTTTTGGATTCCATGCCATAGCCGACACATTGTGTGATGTGGGATGTTCAATGATACCCACACATGCTCCAGTTTGAACTTCCCAAACGGCTATTTGACCAGCCACAGTGCTGCCAGCTAGGTATTGACCACAAGGTGAGAACAGACACTGGGATATAGCACATTTTATCTGAAAATAAAATATTACAATTATATAAAAAATTATGTTTTTATGTTAAGAACTTACATTATCAATTGTCATACAAACACTATAACAGTTCAGAGGTAAGGATGCTACAGATAATTCAGATCTATGCAGTGCAATCAATCTAAAAACCACAATTCAATTCAACGGATTAAGGTGAAACATACGGTCTGTTCCCGGCCATATTCCCGCGAGATGGCGCTGAAGTCATCATTTTTTTGGGTTTTTGTGTAATTGGAACATTATTAAGTTGTAGCAGAAGCAATCGCGATACTCGGACATTATACTTTATTTTACTAGGTCATATCATTGCCTCAAAATCCACACAATTCAACACAAAGTCCGAAAATAACATCTGTCATTGCATATAGTGTCGTTTACACACACTGACGTGGGTGAATTCTTAGTCCTTGTATTTACGAAAATTAAACACTAGATGGCGTGAACACTAGATGGGTAGGCAGAACTATAGAACACCACCTGCTACTATATTATGTACGATTCATCATCTGCCTAGCCTTTTTCCCAACTATATTGGGGTCGGCTCCCAGTCAAACCGGATTCAACCGAATAGCAGTATTTTACGATTATGTTATAAAAATAAAAGTTATATTTGTAAAAAGAGCCGTGGTAACTCAGATGGTTAGCACTCGCTGTGAGTTTCACAGTACACGAGAAACCCGGGTTCGATCCCCGCCAGCACCAATGAAATTGTTAATTGCAATTTTGAGTGCTGATTTACCACGTGCTCGGCGGTGAAGGAAATATCGTGAGGAAACCCGCATGTCTGACAAATAAGAAAAAAAATATATTTCGAAGACATGTGAAGTTCGCCAACACTCATTGGGGCAGCGCGGCGGACCTTTCCTTGCCCTAAAACCCTCTCAGAAATGAGAGGAGGCCTGTATCCAGCAGTGGAACGTGTATATAGGCTGTAACTTTAACTTTTTTAACTTAAAATAGTTTATTTACGCCTACAAATATTTGTAGGCGTAAATAAACTATTTAATTCAATAATAATCTTGGAAAATAAATTATCTCAACACTAAGAACAATAAAACGCAGTTTTATTTTATAACCTTACACTATTGAAATTAATGATCAAAACAAGTATTTGAAGTAACACGCCTGATACACGCCTATTCGCTGAAAACTAATAACACAGATGATTTGCAACATAACTAATTATTACGAAAATTTGACATTACATAATACGTAAAACACTATTTAGCGTGCGATAATTACCAGGAAGGTGAAAAAATATTTCCTAATTTCAAAGCACACACAACTACAAAAGCTTTTAGTAAAACAAAAATCATTTGACTTGTTGATTATTTTTGCAATTAACAAATTTATCGGTGCCAGCAGGGCTCGAACTCGGGTTGCTCGCGTAATGTGAAATTTGCAGTGAGCGCTAACGATGTGACGAATGAATAATGGTATTTGTTGGACAATAATATCGTCTGCACGCCATCTAGCGTGCCAATGCTTAAACTATGTTTGTGGCGCTTTAGCTTGTCAAGTCGTCAAAATTCACTCACACTACTAAAGAAGTGTCAAAATTTTCCTAGATTTCACTATTTTTTTTCTTAATAAATACTGTAAGTTATTTCCTAATAAGGTCAATCGCGAGCATATTTCAGTGTAGAAAAGTGATAAAATGATTAGTTTTAAACAAATAGTGTCTGTGTTTAACGTATATGTCAAAACAAAAATGTATGGCGGGGGTATTGGAGCTTCCCCCTTAATGTATCTATTTTAACAAACCATATAGACGTGGTAGAGCTATGCTGCAGCTATATTAATTGTATAGTTGTAGCACGAATGGGTCGGCTCGAACGGGGAAGGACCACGCTCTCACAGAATACCAGCGTAAAATAGCGGCTTAATGCTGCTGTGTTTCGTATGGTGAGTGTAGACAACCGGAGACCCTTTTTACTGAAAAAGAGGCATTCCATCTTAGTCCTCACGGCTGACAACGCATCTGCATTTTGATTCGCATACGAGGACAGATGTAGATGTCTATGGGCCACAGCAACCACTTACCATCAGGTAGACTGTGTGCTCGCTTGTCACTCTTATCCTATAAAAAAAATGCAATAATAATAACTCTTTCAAAACTATATAGATACCCCAAATAATAATAACTCTTTCTAACTCGGAGTACTTGCACAGACACAATTTAGTAGCCAGAATTTGCTCTGAAATACGGTCTCGTGGATCTGAAACTGCCTTATCCGCGCCAGGCTCTACTGGGACCGGGCCATCATCAGAGACAGGACTATTCTTGCGAATAAGCCTGATATTGTGCTGATGGACCGGGCACAGTCAAGGATAGTTTTGGGCAACATTACCATTCCGTATGACGAGAACCTCGTGAAAGAAGAAACAGATAACAAAATATTTAGGCCTGGCTCACGAGTTGACCGACATGTGGGGTGGTCTGCCGACCGAAATTATTCCTGTAGTCGTCTCTGCGAACGGACTAATCCCGGTCAGCCTCTCGGGTCATCTAAAGCGATTGGGACTCCGTGACGGACCGCTCCAGGCTCAAATGCAGAAGGCGGTGCTCCTCGATACCACCCGCATCGTCCGCCGGTTTCTTTCCCTTTCCCCGTAACCCTCGCCCGTTTGTTCTCCCCTGCCGAGGGCTTCTATTTGTTTATGTATTATTTATTTAATATATATTTATGTATATATTTATCATTTACTCTTATATATCTATTCAGCCCAACCAGATGGGAATACTTTATAAATACTCCAATAATAATTAAAAAAAATTGAGTAATAAGTAAAAAACAATCCACTTCCATACAAATTTCTCTTATAGTACTTGCAATTCATGAAGTCGAGCGGGATTTACTCGTGGTTGACGTGAACATGAACAGTGCGATAGTGTGCGTGTCAGACCTAAGTCTCACACACACTTTGAGATGTATAGAAATACGTGTTTACCATAAGTAAAGCCCGCTCAGACTTCGTGAATTGCAAGAACTATAGCAATCTCAGGTGAGTCATCAAAGTATGAATCCGTCCTAGATACTAGAATATTTCCAGCAGACAAATTTCTGGCATAGAATTTTGCGATTTTTTCTGCTCTATAAGGTAAAAAAAGGTAAATTTATCAGATAAAGATTGTTTCACTTACCAAATTATGAGTAAATGACATGCGTTGTCCCCAACTTTCACAATCCAATAATATAATCTCTCTATTATTAGGGTATGCCAAATATTTTCCTTCTGATGGTTCAAAACTAATTCTACCTGAAACAAAAACCTTTTAAATGGAAATAAGTACAAAATGTATTAGAAAACTAGTAGACGAGTTTGACTATAGTTAAAAAAAGGTAAAAATAGAAATGTCTTACATAAAACTTTAGCAGAGAAGAATGTATTTATTTTGGGGACACAAATTACTTCCTTTACAATTTTCTGAGTATCAATATCCCATATTCTTAATAAACCGTCTCCACAAGCTGTACCGGCATATTTCATATGGGGACATATTGCAACACTAAGTACGGGGCCCTTATGTTCTGTCAATACAAATAAGGGTGCACCTCCTTCTAGATTACAAATTTTCGCCTCCATATTTTCTGAGCAACATCCTAATGCCTGTAAAAATAAAGAATATCTTTTGATTAAATAAAACATTAATTGGATTGGATATTCTTCTGGTCGATAACAACTTACAAATATTGGTTACAAGTGTAAGCACAAATATTGAGGCATTCTTAACAAATTATACACATCAGATCTAAGGCTTGCGAGACTAGACCTGGACTTGAAGCATAGTACTGAGATTAGCATCCATCGCGATTAGCTTTGGTGCGCGTTTCGATACGTGACATTCCGAACCACATATGAACGCACTCCAAAGTGGCAGTTGGCCGTTCCAATTTTTTGTGTCAAAAGGGTCCATTCCGCGAACACAACAAAACAATGCAACGCAAACAACAAACTGTTCAACAAGTTCAAAAAAGCGTGTAGTGTCCCTAGTTTATAAGTTTTGCCTAGGGTTATGTATGTCTCAACGACCTATATAGAATCTTAAACTATATATAATGATTTCTTATGTTTACGCAAACAAATTATTGAACAACTTATTGAACAAAACATTGAATAAAACTACTTTTACGGATTTTATCGCGTTTAATTAAGTTATTTTATATTCCCGACGTTTCGATTGCTTTCCAGCAACCGTGGTCACGGGGGACTGAGGTGATTGACGTCCCGATTTCAAATTTAACCCGGAGTACCTTCAGCTTTTTAATTATTAATTTTGGTCCGATCTACGCAGAATGAACTGTGTCTTCTGTATGTGTGTGTGTGTGTAACCGCCTGTCGGAAGCTGAAACTCGAATCGACCAAGTGAACAATCAGGTTGACAACGTGATGGCTGACGAGAAGAAAACGTTGGACGACCTCAAACTTGGGGATGAAATTACAGCTCCCGTGGTAGCTACAACACCTTCGCTACGTGGATTCAAAGTGCCGCCTTTCGTCGGAACTTCTTCCTGGTCGGCCTACAAAATCCAGTTCGAGGCTGTCATGAAGGCGAACGGCTGGAATAAAAGTCAGGCTACGACTGCTCTCACCCTAGGCCTGCGCGACCAGGTCTTAACTGTTCTGGAAGCTCTCGGTAAGGAAGTGACTTACGAGCAGCTCTTTGAGGCATTGGAGGCGAGATATGGCCATGCTCACCTCGTATACGTCTTTCATGAGCAGTTCAAAGACAACGCAGCAACGAAAACCTGCAGCAGTGGGCCTTTGAAGTGGAGAAGCTGGTTCGAAAAGCATACCAATCTGTACCTGCGCTTGCATGGTAGGGAACGTGGCGCAGACATTCATCGACGGCATCCGCGACCTTGAAGTCAGAGTTACTGTGAGACAAGGACATCACGAGACGCTTAAGGACGCCTTGTCCCATGCACTGGATGTGGAAGCCGTGCGACAGGATCATCGTTCCCATCGTGTCATCGAGGTTGCAGCAGCTACAGTCCGCGACCGCAATAAAGGATACAGCCCTAGGTGCTACGGCTGAGGGGAAAGCGGCCATCTTCAATCCAGCTGCCCTAAGCGAACTGTAGGTGATCGATCTCGAGAGGGTAGTGCGGCTAACAGCACCGCCCAGCAGCAGCAGGAATACGTCTTTGTGATTGAACATCGCAGCGGGAAATCTCAGATGCATTGTCAAGAAGACCTTGTCCTGAAGATTTTAAGCATTGTACTAGGCAAGAGGGTAAGGAAGTGGTATCTGTGAGGATGCTCAGGACAGACTAGCTCAGCAATGAGTGGAAGGACAGGCCTACAACATGCGCAGCAGGAAAATTCGGACATCAAGCCGATTCTGGAATGGATGAAGGCCAGTGCTCCTAAATCCATCAAAATGCTGCGTGTTTACTGGTCCAGGTTCCGGAGTGGCAACTCAGGAACCTTTCTTTTTGTCTGTCCATCGCAATTTTTACTGATACATTAGACGATATCGGTACCTCTGGTTCAGCTGCGGAGGTCTTCGATACGGGTTCTGTTAGGCATAGTAACACAAACAGATTTTTTTTAATAGATTATAAATAATACTTATTGAAAGGCACTCTTTTGTTTAATTTATCACTGGTTCAGAAAAAAACCTCTTCTCTGGAAAGAACCAGCAAGAAACCCAGTGAGACTTATAAAATACAACAGCTTACAATCATTTACAATCAACACAAAGCAAATTAGAAATAGCTTGGTAGCAATCACCTCATTTCCAGGAGTTATTATCATCCATTCTAATCTTTTATACAGCATATGCTGCAGAACTAAGTTTCATTGCTAAATTTGATATATAGGGGCCCCATTGAAGCTTCGCGTCTAGTATGATTCCAAGAAAAATGGTGTTATTGACTTAAAATTACATTGGTACTTAGATGTTTGACATTTAAAGTTATGAATTTCATACTTATAATTTTAGTTTTAGCAGGCTCACTCCCCGTTTTAGGCCCGCCACACACATATGGGTCGGCCACACACATACGGAATCCCGTTTTGCCAGCAAAATTTCGAACGGAAAACTACCGTACGTGTGTGACGGGTCATAGATTTTATATGAACTTGCTGCGTTCGGAATCTTGAATCGGAATATCAAAACGGAATCCCGAAACGGAATTCCGTATGTATGTGGCGGGTTTAGGCATGAAAATATTGTCACGTGCGCGCTCGAGCTTACGCGCGCCTTACGTTAACATAAAAATTATTTTTCTCTAATAAGTATTCAGGCACTTTTGATATTTATTTTTGAGTTTTTTTTCGATTTTTTCGCGTACTATGCCAATGACCTTTAATTAATAATATAAATAAATAAATAATTAGGTCAGTGTAAGTAGACCTCACAGTACTAGCGTCTGCCTACTAATGCAAGATGAGCATATACTGGGAGCTTGGTCTTTAACACTTGGTCTAAAGAACTTCTCGTTACCACTCTTACTCATATATATGTATCTTCTTTATATATAAAAATTACGTATCACGTTGTTTGTCCACGATGGACTTCTAAACTACTGAACTGATGTATGTGAATGTATATATATATATATAGTGCATTTAATGCATAATTTAGGTCATGTTAATAGCAAAAAAAGTGAAACAGACAAGTGACGACTCCGTGGCGCAGTGGCTTAGTAATGAGTTGCAGCGGTAAGGTCCGCGGGTTCGAATCCCGGACGGAACAAGTATTTGTATGGCCTACAAATAATTGTTCTGCATCTGTTCTATGTATGTAAACGTGTGGGGGTAACGTTCTTTTAACAAAATAAAAAAAAAGAAATACTAATATGTTGCATAACACCTCGGTGTATTCTACTATATACCAACTAATATCAAAGGATTCAATTTGTTTTCTCACAACACCCTAACCCTACAGTAGAAGCAGTCCTAACAAAGGCGCGTAACGGGCTAAGTGATACAGACACTCGCACGCGGACGTAAGGTATTTTGTTTTGGTACGCGGCCACATAATTTCTTTTTGGACGAAATAAACGGTAGGCTAATTTCACCAAGGTCACTTTCGACGCGTGCAAAGTATTGGGAACATTAACGACGTTGTAACTAAGTTTAAACTCGCATGTTTGCTATCAGAGAGTGTTCCTTCTGTTCTTTTAACTATTATTTATTTTGTGGTTTTAATGCCATTTAAATGCAAATAATGACAAACCAATCTACTAATTTAGATATAGCATTATTTACTGTCATATTTTAATAATTATCATTTTAATTTGAAAATTAATGAAGTAGCAAATAATACTAAATAATCTAAATATATCGTAGTTATCCCTTACATATATACAAGGAACAGAAAGGGGACGAGAATTGAGTCCTGAGCACACCCATCTGTACTATCGACCCGGAAGAACTCATACTACCTATTTATTACTTAAATATGACATAATTAATTTAAGAACACCGTAGTGTTCATATTTCGTGATTGATATTTCATGGTGAACACAATCAAAGGTCTTTAATAGGTAAGAGAATACATCCAAAGCATCCTGTCAATTCTCCTGTTTTGACAATATATCTCAATTGAAGATATAGCTCAACACCAGTATCAGTTGTCGAGCGACCCCTTGTGAAAATATTAACATTTCATGAAGAATATTTTTTTCAAAAATGTTACTGTGTTGCCAGTACAGAAATAAAATGGCGGATTCCTATACACTACCCGATTTAAATAAAGGTATTACTTTAGTATACTTCATTAAATCAGGAAACAACAAGTTCATAACACCCTCCCTCAATCTAAACTATAATATTATTAGCTACAGCCTTTATGTCCCACTGCTGACCACTGGCCTCCTCTCTGAGAGGGTTTCAGGACTAGAAAATGCTAGGTTCAAAATTCTTTATTTTAATATTAAGGCATTTTTTACTTCTGAATTTAATTACACATTTCTTTTTTTCAATGTTAAGAAATGAAGCCTCTTTTATTGCTGGCAGTTTAATTTTTTTATCACTGAAATTAGTATTTGTCTGATATATTAAATCCAGGGAAAACTATGTAACCCTTATTAAACATTGCTATCTATTTACCTGCTATAGGTACATAATACTAAAAACATCACTTATTTTCTTATACATAAAATTTTATCTTTTTATAACAATGATTATAAGATATTTGATAAGCTGATTATTATGAACACTTTAAAAATTTAACTAAAGCACTGCAATCACCAATTGGCCTGCCAAGGCTGGCTGGCCAGGCTAGTGCCTACACATCCACATCTAGGTGCATATTTTGCATATGGGTAGGAATTTAAAATTATTTGAGCCAACTCTTCTAGGAATCTCAGTAAGACCTCAGAAAGCAACCTCAGCATTCCAAGCTCTATAGCTGGCAACTCCTGGACAATCAAGTAAATTCTTCCCACAATGGGGGAGACTGTGTCCAGTAATGGAATTTTAAGGGCTGATGAAGAAATATAAAATAGTACAGATTTATTTACACTGCATAAAAATAATTATTTAACATGCCAGCAGTTGAAACTAATTTCAAAAGTGTAACTGTTCTATTTTATGCCAACATTATTTGTGCCTAGATATTTATCTGGCTTACCGCACCTGGTGGGTATATCTATTAAAGGGTAAGAAAGCTAGTATAAGTACCTACAGGTTTAGGAGCATGCCATCTTTGTACCTCAAAATGTATTTTAAGCCTTCTTTTTTTAAAGTTGCAGGAAGTTGAATGCCCCATTGTATTAATTAGAAGTATTCACATAGAGTCGAATAATTATATAAAATATATTTCAATTAATTATTAGCTATTTTTTAGAATTAATAAAGAGATACAAGTTTTATTAGACTAACCTCTATTTTGAATGTCGACATAATTTGAGTAACTGGTGCTGTAAATCTTGTGACAATGCCATCTTTATCAAATGCTGGGAATGTATATGCTTGCACTGCATGATTATCATTAGCTACATATAATCTTTTATCCTTAAAGCAAACAGCAAGAGCGCTTTCCCCAACACAATGTGAATTTGGGTCATCATCTTCAATATCATTCCAAATTCTAACATCCCCATCATGTCCGCACGTTATTATGTGCCTGAAAGTAAAAACAAAATTTATACATTTCAAACAATAAACTTATCCACATAAAAATGCTACTTATTCACACAATATTTTAGAAACTCACTGTCCATCTTCTGTAAAACATACATCCGTATGTCCTTCAGCATGGGCATACCTCAACGGTCTACTCTCAATATTCATTTTAAATAAATTGTAAAAGTAATTAATAATAAAAGTATTAAAGAAAATTGTTAAACGTCAAAAATAATAACTATATACAACAATTTCAAGATATGTATTATTAACTTTATTCTTAAACCTAGAAACTATACTAGCGCAAATTGTAAATTAATTTACTTTTAAAAATTACTAATCATCAAAAATACTAATTATATATGACCAATTTCAAGGGTAATATCTTTTTCACAAACTGAAGTAAATTGTAAATAAATTTTATTTAAAAAAAACAAACAGCTGCTTTCATTTTGGCGCGATATTCCTTGTCTTTGCTTTACCATTTTTTTTTTTGGAGTTTATGGCCTGGTATCTAGAGACCTTTAGGCCAAGTCTTAAGTATTTTTATTCGGTTTATTGTAATTTCTCCACTCCTTCATAGTATACTGCTTCACAATATGTTGATGCGTCACATTGTGCAGTTCTTGGGAGATTTTGGCGGCAACTTGATCCAGCAGACAGCTGATAGTTGGCGATGGTATCTAAAGGTGCCTATGCAAACAAACAGCTTATCTTGAGAATCCATCACCATCAGAGCACTTGTTTCACTGTTTCCACTAATAGTTCACATGCGTAGACACTTAATACACAAAATCGCAACACTTTTACATATCAAAGTCCACTTCAAACTAGGAGTGGGCGATACAAATCGTATATAGATACAATATCTATATATCAGCACAATATGCAATATCTATATATCGGACGACAAACTAACTATGTATTAGATATTAAGATTTTACGATACCGTGTTGATATGAGTCATCGCAGAATATCTAATATCTACTCAAAAACGAAACGTAAAATATCTAAATATATACATTGATTCGGATACCGAACAAACGTCGTTAGAATATATAGCTAAGACAGATATTACGACTACTTTACAACGAAAAGGTGATACGCTTACGCCTAATATTATTAATATTAATCCTTATTATTAGTGTTATACGATTTATTACAGAACACATCATTTCTAATATCCAGTCTAAGTAGTATTAAACTGATTTTAAAATAAACGATTATAGATCTTATTATGTATATAATAGGATGTTATTTTTAAACCAATTAATTTTAAATATTTGTAGACCGACCTTTGGGCCTTGAAAAATTGAAGTACCTATTTGCTCAAATTTGATTTTTGTGTTGTATTTTTAAATTTTATTTTTTGTTTCGTTCACGGGCATTGCGTCGCGTAATTTGAATGCGGATGACATATTTTATGTAATTTCTCTGCTCACTTTCGTTTGTAATTCGGTTTCGAAATTTAAATTTTATTTTGATAATTTTTTCGTTTTATGTATAGGTACCTATATAGTTTCTTAAGTTTGAACTGTTTTTGTGTATTAAAAGTAGTGTAACATAAAATATTATATAGATGCATAGATATTAGGCAGATAGTGTACATTTCTTTTAACAAATTAATTCTAGTTTAGTGTTTGACATTGTGTAGAACTAATTAAATACGCCTGCATTACATTATTAAGAATTATTGTATATTTTAAATGTATATTCAAATGTTATTACTTATCTACCTAAACAGGGAATTTATAACGCGAAGTTAAATATATTAACTTAATTATACATAGCGTTACAAATTCCTTTTTTATTACTATTATTAAGTGATGCAGTCAGTTCTAAGCCTGAGAAAAGTATGAAGGAAAGTTTATTTCACCGATTCTGAAAAACTATACCCGCTTAATAGATCTGGGATAATTTCTTTTGACGTAGGGATATAACCACTAACCGTAACCGGTATTGAAACAACGAACCCAAAATACACCCCGACCTTCAAAGTCTTATATAATAAAACATGATAATTTTCAACTAAAAGTGTGGCATAAAATATAAAAGTTTAATTTTATAGCAAATAAATGTTACAATCCTTATTTTTAGGTTTATAGAGCCTAACTTTAAGTGTAATAAATTAAAACAATATATTTGGAGTAAGTAAAAAAAATACTTTGCAAACGCGCCATCTACTCCATTAAGTGATTCTATCGAACAAAAATGGATTAACTCCATAGACTAATATAATGATTAACTCTCACGGTGGTACGCATTATAGACGTTAGATGGCATAAACACGACACGATTTAATTTAATATTCTATTTCATTAATATCTCGCAAACTAAATGTTATTGTATATATTATATGTCACTTTTTATATTATGACATACTTTAAGAATACTTAGATTACATAAATAATACCATTTATCTATAAATCTATATATGGAAATTCGTTCATAAATCGCGTATCACCATGTGATACTGCGTACTGACATCTATTCAGAACGAAGATATCAACAAATACATAGATATTGAAATATATAGATACAAAATCGGATATTCATATCCAATACATAGGTACGATTTGATATAGGGTAAAAGCGATATTACCCATGCCTACTTCAAACCATTATTTAAACAATAATACAGGAGCAGCAAACCGCCGCCGGTCAATTTCCCGCCAAAACTCCCCTTTGCTTTACCATACCATCCATCAGTGTTGCCAAGTCCAGACCGCTCCGAGTCGCCAAAAATTTGTCTTCAAGTAGCCTAAATTCGCCTAATTTGTTTTCTCTGTAATGTAGCCTAAAATCGCCTATTAAATTGTCAGGTAGCATATAAAGGCTATTTTTAAACGGAGACCTAACTTAAAGACCTTATTTATAATTTTAACAAGATAAAATTTGAAGCAGTTTATCGTAAACGTGAAAGAAAAGATCAACATATAAAATATGTGTTTTATCTGTTATATTATATCAACAATACAAATAACATACAATATTAAAAACTATAATAATAAAAAAAAACTAAAACTAGAAATTTAATTATCATATAGTCCTACTCCCCGCGGTATCGTACCAAGAACGCTGGCTGCGTTTCCCCGCTGAATGACTATACTTAGCCTTTGAGCGAGAAAAGAACCAGCCACCTTGTCACCAGCAGCAACGACCAGCCGCGGATGGAGTTCCTTTAAGAACTTCACCACACGTGGACCCCACGGACCGATAGTCTCTACAGCAAATGGCACAAATAAGTATGTAGTCATCTCTCAGAGACTCATATTTGCGCCACTTACTCAGTTCAGCTGCCTCTGATGCCGTCCCGGCTCTAAACGAGGTACTCCTGAGGCCGCCAGAGTATCTACGCAAGTAGCATCCCACACTAGGGCTTTACCTCTCTCCCAAGGGACGAATGTAATTACTTATCTGTTATTCATTATTGATATTTCACAAAATTGAAACGAAATATCTTACTTACAATTGCCTTAAAATCTAGACTTCTTTGATATTTCTGTGTCAAAAACATGTTTCTTTACACGTATCTTTGTTATATATTCTAAGAGACTTACTTAATAAGAGCGAGAATTATGTAGCCAAAATCGCCCTCGTTTTCTTCCGAAGTAGCCTAAATTGCGACTGTAATTTTCGGTCGCTTCGATACCCTTTAAGACAGCCTAAAAGGCGAAAAATCGCCTAACTTGGCACCACTGCCATCCATAGATAGATCCACAGATGCAGAAAGCAATCAGCGCTGCCAACACCAATTTGATGAATTGCCCGAAAATCCAGGTCAAATTCCCCAATTTAAGGACGAAACTTCAACAGATTCCCCACAAATTCCCCTCAATTTTATTTTAAGAAATTAACAATTTTCATCTAATTTTATAAGATTTACTTTTTAACTAACATTTTTTTTTTGTTTACCTATTTTTTTTCACACTCCATATTTTTATAACAAGCATTTTACTCCATGGAGTATTATTAATTTCTTCCCATGTTGCCATAAAAAAGTACCACAGTATCTGCATTTATATGCATGCGCTTCTATGCTACAAAATTAAAAAATCAAGAAATGAAAAGAAAGATGCACAAAAGTTACCGAAATAAATTGGAAAATTAAATATGGTGCAACAAAGAAAATTAAAAAAAGGGAGTCATTCGATATTCATAAGTAAACTAACAAAAATGTTAAGGTTTCTTGAAAAAAGGTTCTGACTTGGCTTGGGCTATCGATTTTCAAAATCCCCGCACTATCCCCAAATAATACCAATCCCAAAAAATCCCCAACCAACTTTAAACTCCCCGCAATTTGGGAAATTCCCCAAATGTAAGGAATGCTGCAAGCAATAATCAAAGAGAATATAACCACTTGGCAATAATCTTTTACCCAGAGTACTACTATTTACTTTTATACAGATTACTAGCATAGAGAGAGTCCTAAAATAACAACAAAATTCTTATAGCTGAACTCTTTATACATATGACGTTTAACATGCTACAAATTAAGATATCTATACTATTCTCACCTTCTTTCTTTTACAAGGTTGTTGTTCAACAACCCAAGGGTTGTAGTCGTTTCCATTCCATAGACACCATAATGATAGATAAAGCTCATAGAATGATAAAGCGCCTTATTTACGGCCCATCTTGCTGTACGTCTTGCCAAGATGAAGGACAATGAGTGAGCCCATATTGCTGTACGTCCTGCCAAGGCAAAGAACAAGGCTTGACGTGCGTCAATAGTTATTATTAATTGCATGCTGGACACAACGCATCTGCGATTCCCCTGGTTTCCCTGGTGTTTCAGTTGTTCATGGGCGGCGGTAGCATCATCATGTGAGCCGCATGCTTGTTTGCCCCCTCTCCTATACTAAAAAATATTGAGATTATCCTCTTTAAGCCATTATGAACCCAACTGAGTATCTATTTATCAACCAAAAAAAATGTATAACCTTACTTAACCAACCGCACAGTCTCACGGTCACACTAGTGCAATATTCATAGCATCACGCCATTTTTCCCAAAGAGTTGAGCGGAGCTTCGGATTATTTTCCCAAACCACAATGATAAAACTTTTAGCGTAGTTAGGTATAGATATTAAGTATTGCTCCTGAAGTGCCACTACAGGCTTGCTCATAGTATTTGATACTCACAACACTCGATGCCCGATTCATGCTTGCTGGCCGATGGCATTGTGCCGAGGGCTTTAGAGCGTTAGTCGTAGAAAAGAGAAACTTGTGGTTAAGTAATAGCTGCGCAGATCAATAGATCTGCGAGATTAAGTTGCACTTGCCTCGGCCAGTCCATAAATGAACGACTATTTTCTTAACATATCAAAATTGATAGAATGGAGAGTGCATCTGTATTCTCGGACACTTGGTGCACTTTGCTCTGTTAAGATCATTATGTTTTTAAAATTCATGCAGCTAAAGTTATATTAAGTTTATTAATACTTTATACTTTTCAGGGACAGATGAAAGAATATAAAGATGAAGCATGATGAAGCCTCATAAACAGATTGATTGATGATCATCAAGCAATTTTACTAACATTACAATTAGCCTTACCTAGGAAAACCTGCATATGCAACTACACTAAAGTCCATATGACGATCCTTGAAAATGACATTCGTATCATTAATTTTGACTTTGTTTATTGCTCTGACGATGCAAATACGTCTTTGAGTTACTTTATAAATTGTTTACAATACACAATAATGAATAATACATCAACAATGAAACTGTGACTTAAGTATTATAATATTAAACCTTGGATAAGACCTGGTCTCGTCCGCTGTATAAGAAATAGAGACAAACTTCATTTAAAATCTAAACTTTCTCCTTACAAATAAAAGATATAGGAATTTTTGCAATAAACTATTAAAAAACCTCAAAATACAATATGATAAAAATGTTTTACAAAAGGCTGGTAAAAACAGTAAACTTGTATGGAAGTTCATTAAAAATAATACCTTCAGTTCAAAAAATCTTGGACCCCCACTTTATCTACTGTCATTAGACAAAAGCCCAAACGAAGGAACTAATAAAGTAAATAATTATTTTATTAATGTTGGCAAAAAAATAGCAGAGACAACTTTAAAATTAAGCAACACTTGTAATCCAATTTTTATGCCCACATCCTTTTCTAAGTTAAATTATTTTGTATTGTTAAATACCGATATTGATGAGATTTTAAGTATAATATCTGGCTTAAAAGAAGATTGTGCAGTTGGATGGGACAATATACCTAATCGCATACTCAAAAGATTTAAAACATTTACTGGCTGCCCCGTTAACACATATCTTTCAGTTATGCCTATCAAATGGTATTTTCCCGAAAGTGCTTAAAAAAGCAGTGGTTTCTCCTATTTACAAAGCTGGTGATAAAAACTTAGTTAGTAACTATAGGACGATTTCAGTTTTATCTGGCTTATCTAAAATTTTAGAAAAGATCATAAATACCAGGTTAATAAAATACCTGGAAACTAACAACTTGCTGTCAGACAGACAATTTGGTTTTAGGCCTAAGAGATCATGCAATGATGCCTTGCACCAATTGACAGATTACGTCACAAGTAATCTTGACAGCGGTGTGCACTCAATTGGGATCTTTTTAGACCTTGCCAAAGCATTTGATACTATTTCTTGCCCTATACTATTGCAAAAGCTTGAAACACTTGGCATAAGGGGAACTCAACTACAAATTTTTTCTGATTACCTCAGTGATCGCTTTCAATGTGTAAAAATCGGTGAGTATACAAGTACTGAATTACAAAACAGCTCTTATGGAATCCCACAGGGCAGTATCCTGGGGCCTACATTGTTCCTAATTTATATAAATGACTTATGGAATCTTCAACTTCAAAATGGTGTCATAATGTCGTATGCGGATGACACAGCCCTGTTATTCTCAGCTAAATCACGAGATGAGGTTTATAAATACGCTCAGCATGGCTTTAACATAGTATCTAATTGACTTCTTAATAATCTCCTACATTTAAACGCTGATAAAACACAATATATGTTATTTTTAATGAGAAATAATAACATACATACTCACCTAAATATTTGCGCTCGTAATTGTAACTCGTATAATGACACTCCATGTGCATGTTCCGCATTAACAAAAACAGACAATATAAAATATCTAGGTATCACGCTTGACACAAATTTAAATTTCCGCAAGCACATCGATTTACTTTGTGCTAGAGTTCTTAAATTAATATATATTTTTAAATATCTTCGTAACATCGCTGACTTCAAATTGATAAGATAAGTCTATTTAGCTTTGTGTCAATCCATACTCACTTATGGCCTTACTTCCTGGGGTGGTGCTTCTAAAACAATATTGCTCCCTAATGAGAACTGCTCTCTGAGCACGTTCATTAGAACGTGCTCAGAGAGCAGTTCTAAAGGTAGCCACTTTCCGCCCATTCATGTTTCCTACACATCAACTTTACTTGGCATGTAGTGTACTAACTGTCAGTCAGTTGTTTATCCTGAACATCATATTAAAACAGCATACCGAACTTCCATTTAACTTAAAATCCATACACAGGAGAAGAATGGACTTAGTTTGTGTAAACCCTCAAACCAAACACGCATTTGTCAACAAATTTTACATATTTTTAAGACCCTTTCTATATAATAAGCTCAACAAGTTACTAAAGGTATATAGTCTAAGTTATAAGAACTGTAATATAAGTGTAAGGGAATTTCTAAATAAGTTAAATTACGAAGACAGAGAGAAGTTGTTAGAAATTCTAAAATAGTTTGTATTAGTTGTAGGTAACAATTAATTGTTGTTTAGTTATTTTATTTATTATATAATATAGTTTAATTATTTAAATATCTAGTGTCCTACATTATTAAACCCATTGTGTAAGTGAGTCTGAAACACAGGTACTCAACCTAGTTCATGCAGGTAGCTAATATTATAAACTTGACTTTTTTATTTTTCTTTTGTATATTCTACATTATTAAGCTACACATAGTTTTAATTCTATCATAGCATGTTATTTTTGTTAGACTTATTGTTACATTATTTAATTGTAATCATATTTATTCCTGTATGTAAACATGTGTAATTGGAAATGAAATAAATATTCAGATTCAGATTCTTTATTTTCCACAATGTAGGTACAGGTATAAGATGGAATATTTATTATTATATTATATATATAATAAACTTTTATAGTAATATTGCTTCACAATATGTTGATGCATCACATTGTGTAGTTTAGGGAGATTTTGACGGCAACTTGAGCCAGCAGACAGACGGCAATTGTATATCAAGGCGTCTAAGCAGACAGACACCTTGAGATTTACGTCAACATCGGAGCACTTGTTTCACCTTTTCCACTAATAGTTCACATACGCAGATATTTAATACACAAATTTACACTACTTTTACATATCAAAATCACTTCAAACCATTATTTAAACTATAATACAGGATCCGCCACCACCGGTTACCGCCAAAACTCCAAATGTCCAAGCTTTGACGGGTACTGGTGGGTACTAGGTACTATGGGATCTAAAAGGTAGTTATTATATACTCTTTGACAGGATCTTTGAACTAGCACTTCTTATTTGTTTGCACTGACCTCTATATATACAAGGTTTTGTGATCTTTGAATAATCAATTTAAGGATTATATACTCTTTTGGAATAAGTTCATGTCGTGCTGCCAATTTGTTGAGATTTCCCCAAGCTGCGGGGAATATCATAACGTTTGGTTGTTTTGTGAGGAAAGGCACCGTGCAGGGATAATGCTGGAATTTTAATATTTTACCAATTTAAACTAATATTACAATACATTCTTCTACTTATAAACATACATAACTCATACGTTAATTACTAATCTCAATTTTCTTTATGGCAAAGTTACATCAATTAGTAAAGTGTTTCCCACGTTTAAAAATTGTTATCATCTTATTAATGGTACTTCTTTTTCAAAATGCAGCAGTGAGAGAAAATTTCGTATACGTACTTAATAACCTGAATACAAAAAATTTAGAATAGAATAGAATAGAATAGAATATTTTTTATTCAATATACATTACATGTGTAATTCTTATTGAAATTTTAAATCATCGACATACAGATACTGTCGTAACGTTCATGGTTACCAGAGAAGGAATTAAGAATCATAGAGGCAGCTTAATCCTTCCAACATATAATGTCACCAAAAACATATGGCATTTCAAAACAATGACTGAATATTTTTTTTATCTTATTAATAAATTTATATTACTTTCAATTGCGAATTTTTGAGTTTGTTATTAATAAATATTCTTTGTTTTCTATTTAAAAATGAATATTTTATGAAATATTATTAAAAAAACTTGTGGGAAATCAAAGTTTTGTTCTCGGAATTCGGGAATTATGATCAATGATTTTGGGGAAGCAGGAAATAGGCATTGGCATCACTGGTCATTTATTTAATTTTTCTTTTTCTTCATCTTCATAATCTTCATTCATTTCATTTGCACTTTCATTTTCATCTGTGATATTCATTCATTCCTCAGAATTTCCTGGTAGTAGTAGGTTGTACGTTGGATTACGTTTTGTGTCACGTGTTGGTTTCGGCCGGTTTTTATTTTATAAAGTTTTAAGCTTTAAAAATACGACATTTCACATAAAGTTACTCATCAAGACGTAATTTTTGGAGTTCGTAGTAAGTAAAAACAAAATAAAATTATTAAGACTTAATTTATTAAGAGCCGAAGCAATATTTTAACTTCTTAGGAAATTTTTAAATAAAATTAAAAAAATATATGCTTGCAATAGTATTCTTATAAACTTTAGAATTATGATTCTTATCTGTCTTATCGTTATTCAAAGGCATCGTATAAGATGAGGCAATGATAATTTAGGTTAGATAATATAATAAAGATTTTCTTTGCATTTTAAAACAAATAAATTCTTTAAAAATATTATGCTTAAAAGTTCATAAATTGCAGTTATTTATTACCAAATGGCCAATCAAGGATTCTTAAAACAAAAAGCCGGTTTTGCCACTCTTGCAATTCATGCTGGACAAGACCCGGAAAAATGGAACTCTGCAGCAGTTGTTCCACCTATAGTAACATCTACTACGTTTAAACAACCTGCACCAGCAGAACATACGGTATGTACCTTAATTTTTTTTTTGAGAATAACACCTATATACACTATGATAATTAAAAAAAAATATTTTAGTTAATAAAGTTATAACAACTTTATAAAAAAAAAATTGGAAATAATCACTGAACGAGACATTTGAAATGCACCATTAGTTATTACATCATATAAATAAAAATTTGCATCAGCAGGTATATTATTTTGAATGTTTTAGAATTTTAGATAGTAAATGAAGAATGTTTTTACCGATATTACAATAAAATAATATGTAATAATTCCAGGGTTTTGAATATGGTAGATCAGGAAACCCCACTAGAAATACTTTAGAAGAATGTCTGGCTGCACTTGATGGAGGGAAACATGCTTTAACTTTTGCTTCAGGTTTAGGAGCTACAACAACTGTAATTTCATTGCTAAGTAGTGGTGACCACATTGTATCTTGTGATGATGTGTATGGGGGTACAAATAGACTATTCAGGTAAATATTTTCTACCGACTTCAAAAAAGGAGGAGGTTCTCAATTCGACTGTATTTTTTATGTGTGTAACCTCAGAACTTTTTCCTAGGTTTTATTCCTTTTTTATTTGAAAGCTGGTGCTTCACATGTGGTCCCATATAAATTTGATCAAGATCTGACCAGTAGTTTTTGAGTTATCCATAATAATGCGTATTTAATTGAATACAACTACATTGATGATGTTCATCTTTTTATTTATATTGAAGTTGGTTGTACAAAATTTTTAATTTTACCACTTGTTGTTGATTAAGGAAATGCAATTTATATAATCCCATGTTTATCATATATTATAAAATGAGAATTTCTGTGTAATTTAAATTAATAATGTTACATAGTTAAGTATCAAATAACAATCCCACGATACAGAACAAAATCCTTTTGTGGGGGTAACGTTTTTTGAAGTATGTTGTACAAAATTTTTAATCTTTCCTTTTGTTTTTATATATATATTAATTTTTGTTTCAAACAAACAATTTATTTTTTTATAATATAAAAAATAAATTGTTTGTTTGAAACAAAAATTATATATATATATATATATATATATATATATATATATATATATATATATTAATTTTTGTTTCAAACAAACAATTTATTTTTTTATGTATATTTACTAGATAAATTGTTTGTTAGTTTCAAACAAAAAGTACTGGCATAAGAATCAGAATAAGTCTTGAGACCTAGGCACTTGGCTTATTTTTGCAAATCCATTATTTAACCTTTTACGCACTTGCATTTTGAATATTTAAGATATTTTAAACCCATAGAGCAAGAACATTGGTACAATGCTCTTTAAGCTTCACCTCCCAACAACTTAAACTTAGAAATATTGCTAGAAATTATCCTACATTATAACAGATATTAAAATCTGTTATTCTTTCAGAAAAGTGTTGGAAAGACTGAATGTTGAGACCACTTTTACTGATTTTACAAATCCTGAGGATATTAAAGATGCCATTAAAGAAAATACAAAGGTTAGTATTTTTTACATAATATGAATATAATATGAAAGCAATGTACAGTTAATATTTAAGCAAGTTATTTAAAATATAGGAAAGATATTTAAAATCATTAAGCAAAGTAAATTTATTTATTTATTTACGATAGTGTCACTAATTTCCCTAAATATACTATGTATTACAATATTACAACTAACTTACATAACTAACTGTATAAAAGTTATGTAAGTGGCTCAAATTAATGTTGAAATATTGCAATAGTGTTTTGTACATTTACATCAGCAGTTTAGCAACCAATGAATCAAAACAAGCTTTATCAGAAAATTGGTTTATGTTACTTGAATGTCAATGTTAAGCATAACAAAAGTTGTTGATAAGAGTGTTTTTCATTTCATAGATTTTCATTTATAATTTTTTTCTTTGCATGTAATGATAATGTAATTGCATAAGACTGAATAAATATTTAAAATTTTCACTTGTTACTTTTTTTAGTCTTATGCATAATCTATTGATTCATTTAAATCTGCTACAAGCAATCACTCATTATTATGTGTTAAGTATAAATTATTATTGTTTTTTTATAATGTTTTTGAGTATAGTATTATTACCATAAAGTTTAGTCTATGACACCTCAGAGTTCAATATCAATCTAACGATACCTATTACATATTATGTACATACAGTTTGATTGATGACTGGTACAGTCTGGTTACATACATTCAGTCCAAGTCTACATTTGCCACAAAATATTCGGTATTTTGATTTGGACTTCACTAACTTATCACTTTTGGTTTTTAGAATATATAATATCATACTCAGATAACAAAACACCGTAAAATAGGAACATTGTTGCAGATGATTTGGATCGAAACACCTACAAACCCACTGCTTAAAATCGTTGATATCGCGGCTATTGTGGCAATTGCAAAAAGTTGCGGAAACATTTTGGTTGTTGTTGACAATACATTTTTGACGCCGTACCTACAAAGACCGTTGGATTTCGGTGCTGACATTGTGCTCTATTCCTTGACAAAATACATGAATGGGCATTCAGATGTTATAATGGGAGCTACTGTAGTTAATGATGATACTTTGGAAGAGAAACTTCGGTTTTTGCAAAATGGTAAGTGGTAAAGAATAAATATCATTATAATATGAAACATGAGATATCCATTTCCACATATCGTTAATTATCTGGTGATCTGACAGAAAACAGTCTTGTTGATTAATTTGTTAAATACTGTTACTGTGTGCTATAAGTTTCATTTGTAAATTACATAATAATCTCCTTTATGTCAACTTTTGATATATGCTGTAAGGGTTTCTTTATGTATTTTTTTCTGTGCTACAAAATATGTTTATCTTTTATAAATAACAATGACGAGTAACAACACTTAAAATAGTCTGATAAAGGCGCGTTCCCACAGAAATTGTTGGCAACTTTTACGTTGCCAACGGTTTGCAACTCACCAAAAAATTGCCAAAAATGTTGACAAAATGTTTTCAAACGACGATATTATGAAGGCAGCTGCAGTATTTATAATTTTATGCAAAAGAAAAAAAACAGAAGCATAAATATTGGGTTTTGGGAGGGAGAAACTTTTTATTTTCCTTTGAATTTCTAGTTCATTTTGCCCCATAGCATAGCTGATACTTTTACATGCATCCTTTTTTATCTTTATAATTTTCATTACTCACATCCCATTATACACTTTGTATACGATATAAATTAATTAACGTCTCGATTAACTAGTTCGTCCACGTGACAGACATGTTGCCAACGAATGTTACCACCAACTTGGTGGCACCAAGCGTCTCCACAGAGCGAATAAATGTTTGTAACAAGCGTATCCCTTTGATGTTACCGCCAAAATGGAAACAAGGTTCCCGACATTTGTTTACAATTTTTGTTGCCAATACAAAAGTTGACAATTTTCCTTTGGTGGAGACCCAGCATTAAGGCGTGTATATACCGAAATTGTTGGCAACTTTTATATTTTCAACGGTTTGCAACTCACCAAAAAATTACCAACTTTTTTTCCATTGTGTCCACGTCCATACTGAATTAAAACAAGTCGCCAACAATTTAAGAAACATTTTAGCTAACAACTAGTTCTCTCCACCAAAGTTTTGTTGGCAATATGTCTTCAATCGACAATATTAAAAAAAATCGTATTCTGAAGTAAAGGGCTTTAATTATTCTATACGCTATGCCTTGCACCGACTAGAGAATCTGAAATAATTATTTTATTCTTATTAGCTATTTAGTCTGCTTTTGCTTGTTATTAAAAGTTAATTTTTAAACTCCGTATAGCGTGGTTAAATGATCGCGTTACGTTCTGAAAACCAGCAACTGGACGTGTTATGCACCCTTTATTGCATACATATTTGATGTACTTTAGGATGGCTTTAGGCCATATAATTATCAGGAATCTGGATGTGATTAAGCTACATTGTAGGAAAATCAATAGCCGCCTTTTGGCTGGATGGATCATTCTCGAATCGATTAATATTGTGATCATCCATGCTTTAGACTTTAGAAACCCGAGATGTGAGTCTGTGCCACAGGATATAAAGTTCATTTATTGATACCTTACTTGTTAAAATAAGCCAAGCAGTCCGGGGGCTAAAATGTAGCTGATTAAAGATATTGGCTTGACAAAATATATCATTATTTACTTTGGTGGTAGTTGTTAAATAAGCGTAAAACGATTTTAAAACAGCGCAACTTCATGCGTAAAAATAACTTTTTGTTAAGTGGCTTTATTAGGTATCATAGAATTTAAAACCAACAATTTGATCACACTGTAGGTATACATAGGCAGGAAATTCCCAAAAGATTGCCGTGTTAGGCCGGCCACATACATACGGAATTCCGTTTCGTGATTCCGTTTCGGAATTCTGAACGGGTCGGCCACACACATACGGAATCCCGTTTTGCCCGCAAAATTTCGAACGGAAAACTACCGCACACGTGTGTTACGAGTCATAGATTTTATATGGACTTGCTGCGTTCGGAATTCTTAAACGGAATTCCTTATGTATGTGGCGGGTCTTAAAATGGCTAACTCTCTTTAAATTGTGCTAATAGGCTGCCAAAGCAATTGGTGAACCTTTAATTAATTCTATACGCTGTTAACCTTGCATGAAGTTTTATTTTTAAACGACAATATGATCGCGATTCATTTATTACGATTAGGCAGCATATCAGTGCTCGTAGGAGCAATTATTATAGGTATTTTTTTTTAAATTGAACCTACTTAAAATGAACAAGAATAAATGATATTAACTTTATTAGGTATAATTGTACGCTTATTATAAGTGAGGTTCTACTAACAAATTATAATTTCACAGTATGCTTAGTTATGCTTTCCGAAAATTAAAGGATTTACATTTAACAGTTTAACAAACCGCTGCCTTCGCATTCCGTGTATTAATTAATTAAAGCTTGTTTTTTATGATCTAAATCTTTGATTTTGATACAAAACCTATTAACCGGTTCTAAATGCCGGTTTTAAAAATTCTTTAGAATACATTAATATATTTATGGTTGAGTTTTCAGTATTTCCATGTGTTGTATTATTTCGGATTTCGGCACAGAATCCTATATTTCATAGTTATTGAAATTACGCACCATTTGTGTTGTTTTTACATATTTTACAATGTGTCTGTGGATTTTACAATTTCTGTTATATTGGCACCTCAATGTAAAGTCTTTGACCACTAATTAGTTTAGTAATAAAAATAAAACTTAGAACACAATCGAAAGCAAATGCTATTTTAGCACTCGCGATCGGGGTCGTTACTCTAATATTATTAACGCATGTAAAGCGATTGGGTCCTGCGCATGATTTCTCTCTAGTTGTGTCGGTTTACCGTCCCATCGAATTATGAGATTAAGGCCCGCCACATACATACGGGATTCCGTTTCGATATTCTTTCTGAATTCCGTATGTATGTGGCGGGCCTAAGGGAATAGTGAGCGCACCTGTGCATGCGCATACACTCTGGCACTAAAATCCTGTCCTGTACTAGCTAGCGTCCGTTGAGGCTGGCCGCCATGACCGAAATTCGGTCTGGAGGAAATTATTGTTATAATTAACTAAAAATATATTAGATAAAGTATTCTACTATAAAGTCCAATATTTTAGGGCTACCGCGTGACCTAGAGGTATGTCTGTGTCTGGTGTGTGCCTGGCTCCGTCCGACACAATCTCCGCGTTCCAAATTCATTCGGATACAACTTTTGAACAAAGACAAAAATTGACGGTTTTCTGGTTTAGATGCAGTGTAAACAATCACGAGGTTTTGTTTCATACTTTCGAGCCTACTTACGATTGTATCACACAAGCGTTACATGGGGCACGGTTGGGTCTGCACATAATGTGATCTATACTAAATAAAAATTCTATTTTATAACATGACATGCAGTTGATAATTTTCCAAAATTATTGAAAGTTGTCGCCTTGGTCGAATTTAACCTGGATAACATCAATACCATGTATATAAAACAATATTGTAAAACCCGTCAAAGTTAACTTGAGTATTCCCTCTGATAATAACGTGCTGACTGTAAAAAGTAGTGTTGGTGGAATATTATCGATTAATTAATTGGGTGACCAGTCACCTGATGCTTAATAAAATAGAAAATTATGTTTTATTTTATTTAACATTGAAAAACCTTTATTTTACATTAAACATAACTTAATGAAAAGTAAAAACTGAATTCGTAAAATAAAATAATTTCACGACAAAAAGTCGGCGCAAAGACATAGTGTAAATGTCGTAGACCGTAGTCCGATTTTTAGAATTTGGCAGATTGTTGTCGGCCTGGGCATTTAATTATTTGCGCTAAGAATTGAAGCTCCGACTTCAGAACGTCAAACATTTTTTTCTTTTTATTCTTTGAAGTTGGTTTTTCACTTTTTATTATTTTTTTAATCTTTTGTGTGGGGACTAAGGAATATCACGAATCGATGTTGTCTAAATAGTTTTTTTTTTTATAGGATAGGGTGACAAACGAGCACACAGTCCACCTGACTGTAAGTGGTTGCTGTGGCCCATAGACATCTACATTTATCCTCGTTTGCGAATCAAAATGCAGATGCGTTGTCACCCGTGAGGACTGAGATCGAATGCCTCTTTGCCAGTAAAAATGGTCTCCGGATCTCCACACTCACCATACGAAACACAGCAGCGTTAAGCTGCTATTTTACGCTGGTTTTCTGTGAGAGCGTGGTCCATTCCCGGTAGAGCTGACCCATTCGTGCTACAACTGTACTACTAATATATCTGCAGTATGGCTGTACCACATAAAGCAATGAACAATTTTATTGATCCCCGCCGGCATCAATAAAATTGTTAATTGCAATTTTTAGTGCTGATTTACCACATGCTCTGCAGTGAAGGAACTAAGAAAAAAAATATATTTCGGAGACATGTGAAGTTCGTCGACACGCTTTAGAGCAGCGCAGGCATTCCAGCCTCTTCCAGTAAAAAGGGTCTCCGGTTCTCTACACTCTACATACGAAACACAGCAGTGTTAAGCTGCTATTTTACGCTGGTATTCTGTAAGAGCGTGGTCTTTCCCCGGTCGAGCAGATCCATTCGTGCTACAACTATAATACTCATATAGCTGCAGCATGGCTCTAACACGTATAAGTTATATTAAAACCTATGCCTACATCCCCTTTTTAACACTCTTAGGGGTGAAATTTTGTCTCCTAATTTTCTCTGAACCTAATTATTAAAAATCGGTTTACAATTGAGGAAAATATCGGGTAACATAGTGGAGTTTTCGCCTGAAAAATTATTCTCTTAAAATATATACAATAGGCAAAGGACCTAAATGAACCCATGCATTTATTTATATTTCTTTGAGAAAACATATTACTTAAATTATACTTATTGCATAAAAATATATACTTATACTATATGAGTTATAATTATAATATTACATTATTCATTTCGCGCCTATGAGATGCGCTATTCGCGCTAAAGGAAAACCAAAATGGCTTCACTTTGTATTAACGCTTGATTTTACTACCCATGTATTTTTCATGCCGTGGGCTATATATGAAACGCTTCATAGGGAGTAAACCCCATTAAACTCCAAAAAGAACT